AATAATAATAATAATAATAATAATAATAATAATAATAATAATAATAATAATAATAATAATAATAATAATAATAACAATAATAAAAGAAAAGGTAATGTACAAGAAATCTCAAGCGTTTTAGCTTTAATTTAGATAATGACATTGACTGCCAAAAGAGTATAAAATTATGCCTTAATTACTTAAGAAATGCATCAATTGACAAAAGTGAACTTATACATAATAAAATAATAAGAGACAAATGGTATTAACTTACAACATTATTAAATCAGTAAGCAGTCCAAGTTCCTTTGGAACCTCGCCGTATAAAGCATTAATGTCAACAATCCTATTAAATACATATAGAATAAACATTGAAAGAGAAATAATAATTTATAGAAAACAAAGTCATGGATTTATGTCAAAAATTGGGATTTCCTTACAGATATTGCATTTTAGTTAGACTGCTAATAGATGCAGATAGGGGACCAGTCAAATGATTTCGACTCAAATCCCTGTATGCAAAAATGGGAAGAAACATTATAAGTATATTAAATTTAACAAACCAAAGTCCACGTTCTAAAAACTGGAAAGTGCTAAAGAGAAATATGATCTCAAGAAACGTACAGATTGGTGAGGTGAGTCAAATTCCAGAGTGCATCCGGAATCACATCTACAACGTTCAAGGCATAGACTTTCCTGTAAAAATGGCGTCTGCAGTAAGCAATCTCAAAATGGAACCCTAACATTGGAGATTTTGAGATGAAATTGGAGAGGGTTAAGGGAAGTTTGGGGATTACGTACAGTTGGGTGATGTGGCAAGTGGAGTTGGCACATTTGCAAGTGATGATGGGGTTGTAAGTCCCGAGGTCAAAGACAGTGGGGTCTAAGGCGACTCCGCTGCAAAGTTCACCGCTTATGTTCCATTCAATAGGTGCTGATATTCTCCATTGTTGAAATATGGAGTTCAGTATTCTAGCTGCAATCAATTGTGTAGACAATCTTGAGCCCAAGTTCTGAAATGTCACTTGCACACTAATTTTTGGTTTTGAATTTTGGGTTAATGATAGATTTAGTCCCAAGAACTAGATCGTCTGTTAATTTCATCCATAATCATTTTCAAGAGTCAAGTTAGTTGTTTTTCGTGATGGTGTTAAATTTCTAGTTGTTTGATATTATTATTATTATTATTATTATTATGTGAGAAATATTTTACATGGTAGATTATATAGAGTTCATATGGAAAAATTATTTAAATATTTTTAATAAAATAATAAAAAATGAAATTAAATGTATTTAAATAATTTTATAAAAATAGCACATACAATTCATCTTATAAAATAATTTTTTATATTATTTTTATTTTTATTTTAAGTTATAAAAAAAAAAAAAAAAACCAACTCATCCGTGCCATATAATTTGAACTTACTACTAATGTTGTTTTTTCTTTTCATTTCCTTCTCTTTCCTTTTCTCAATTTCCTCTCTCTTTATTTATTAACTTTTATCCAAACATGACATTAAAGTTCAAATTTTAAAACTACTTTTTAATTTTTGATTGAAAAAACCTTTTTTCCTAAAATTTTTAAAACTTTTAAAGAATATTTATATATTTTTATATGTTAATTTTATAATTAAAAATAAAAATAATATTTTTAACATTTGTATATAATTTTTAATTTATAAATT